AGGAATTTTGAGGGGATGTTTCCTGACAGTTCTGGCGGCCAGTCTGAAATCCTTTCAGCTAGAAGCATCTGCCGAACCGATGACGGTAGCGACAAAACTGCGGGGAACTCTGCAAAAAACGCGTCTTCGCACGGGCAGCCCGTGCGTTGGCCAATTATTATCAATAGAGGTACAGGAAATATCATAAAGGCAACAATGTCAATGTAAGATAGGACGGCAGTAATTATTATGAAAACAATAGTAATGATAAAAATTTTTGGAGCATTTCATGTATCTCGCGAGGAATTTTCGCAGTAGTACTACTTCTCGCACTACCGTGTTATTCACGAAGCACGGGTGAGTTAGCTGCTTGCCACTGATCTTCAGACCACCTATTCTAATGCAATTTCCGAAATATCATTTCGAAAGCGGCAACGACAAGATTTGGCAGTACGAGATCTCAGTTGTCATTTAATCGGTATATGGATTTGAGTGTAATATATGGGATAAAAATAAAAAATTTTTTTTGTCAACTTCTTGTTAGCATCATTATTATCTAGAATCTAATGTTCTCAAACTCGACTGGATACCGGAATTTCGAAACTGATGACTTTCCAAGAATTTGGAAAAGTTACAATTCCTTGACAAATTTTGCTAAATACTGTCGACAAAATTTCGAAAAAAAAGAGATAAAAATTTTACGCAGATACGTGTGGTACTTGTACATACCTCAAAATCCTCATTGCTGGAGATACTATTTTCACTTTCTGTTTCTTTTTCAGGCGTGATGCTCTCCGTTTTTGTTCCTGTTTATCCAATAACTGTTTATGCAAATGTCATAAGCCTTTTTTTAAAATATTATTAAAATCAACAAACAACAAAAAAGTCAAATTTTCGTTAGAGAGATGGAAAGGCGAGAGAGCGGAGGGAAAGGAAGAGCGAGACGTTATACAAATTTTATGGGATTTATAAAAATTCTATCACATAGCAAGGGTTCATTGGTTCTTTTCAGAATCAGCAACAAAATCCCAGCATAAAAGGAATTCCACTTTTTCTGATCTTTGTTCATGAATTTGCCGGGACCGTCAATTTCTCAAAGAATCGTTCATTCATTATGATGATAAATTGGTACTGGCATATGTCAG